ATTGAGATCATCTTCAGGGCCTGGGATTTACAAACATTTTTTAAATTTAACAAATACATGTAGGATGTGGAAAAAAAGTGAATTTATAAAATGCAAAAAATATTTTTTATATTCGATCAAAGTATTTCTACTCACTCAAAATGTTTGTTTTCTGGGTAAGATTATATGTTTAGATTATAATAATTTAATAATATAAGTTAATAAACTGTTACATATCTGGTTTACTTGGGTGGTCTTATTTATGGTACAACTATGTTGTTATGATTATGGTTTATCATAAAGTAACGTTTAACGTTTTACCGTTATTTTTGGATTTATTTTAATATTTTTTTATTATTCTTGGTTTATAATTTTTAATTTTTGTTTGTTGTTAACATTTATATATATATATATATATATATATATCCTCAATATTAATTAATTGAAAGTTATTTGGTCAATCGGGCCACGAAGTCTAATTGATTTATGGATATACAGTTCAATCATGCCGCAATTAAATATAATAAAAAAGTGTTCGTCACGTACTGTTTTTAAAATTTAGTTTAGAAACAGAAAACGTTGATCAATTTATCATTTTAGTAATATTACTGCATGGCTGCTTTCTTTGAAAGGCGAGTTATTCGATATCCCTTACGATTACATGGAAATGTATTATCTCGAAGAACGGCGTGACCATTGCTCGACACGAGACTCCGCGGTGGGAGGTTTGAAAAAAAAACATTGTTATAAATGGTTAAAGGGGAGAATTGCATTAACTAGTTGACTCACGCTTTCCACGTCCCTCCAGCATCCCTTCTGATCCACTGTTTTTAATATCGGGCCTTCTCGCCCCACCTCGTCTAGGGGTCCCATCGCTGGAAAGTATATATTTCATCATTACCATAACCGCCCTTTCTCCCTACCCATCGCATTATATACATGTGAAATGGGTTTGAGATGAGCGCCCCATGATGAGGCTTCTCCGATAATACCGGAAAAGACTATTACTTCGTATGAGAAAAGATTAAGTAGATTCTATAAACGTCGGATTTATCCAACAAATAAAGAAGGTTAGCGAATTGACGGAAATTTCGACAATTCATGATTATATGAAACAAAGTACAAATGGGGAAAATTCCCTCCAATCCAATCAATTTTGAAAATAGATTCATTGTAGTGTCAGATTATAATAAGACCGATTATTTACGCTGGATAATATACATAGATTATTTGTCATCTTTCTAAATTCACACGTATACAAGGAACACGAGTGACATAATACCACACAGACAAATCTCTGAAGTTAGCGGTATGCCGGTGTTTCTACTGTTTTCGCTGCAATTTCCCTCTTTCCTCCCTCACAACCCTATTCCTTTTTCCTTTCTCATTCTCTCTGTATCTTACTTTACCGACAAACAAGGCCATAGTCGGCTCTCATCAAGTTTCTTTTTTCGATCTTGTGCATTATTCACCTCTGCATTTTTTTTATTCTCGATATTATCACCTTCTAGATCTGGACTCTTCCCATCGATATCAACGCATCATTCATACAAAAACAAGCGTACTACATGACGGGCCTCCATATTACTCTGTATTCCGATAGTAGCCCATCATCATCCTCACAAAATCCATAACATATAAACACCAAACATCCATTTTATTCCCACAGATAAATTCAGTTTAAACATCAATTTTTCACGCTAAAATACATATACATACTAAATTTTATACAATTGAAAACTTACAGGGGGCCAAAGGGGTAGTCAATATTCCGCAAATGGCCAGTCCTCCTTCATAGACACTACAAACTAGGTAACGGGCAGTCGTCGTTCATCACGTCGTCAAAAGGTCTTCATTTCATTCACGTCATTTCAATATTCATTCACACTCATTCAACCAACATTCTCGCTAATAAATACACACATAAAGCATGTGAAGAACCAAATTAAATTACATTATATACATCTGAGGGTAGATCACACCGTTCTCGATAGATAGCACCACAGTCCACTAGTAGGTGACAGACTTTCGGCCGTCCACAAGATGTTCCTGTGTGAGCCGAGTGTGGCCTGTCCTAAGGCATTGTTAAACTCTCTCTCTTTTTTCATTTTCTCTAAAGGCCACGATTTAGCTTAGCGCTTTATATTTTATTTTTATTTTTCGGTCAATTAAGCCCAGTGACTTCACCATTCTTGATAACTCATATTTATTATTTTGTTCTCAATGTCCGCTGCCTGATTGGTGTCTCTAGGTTATGCGGGGTCACAGCTGCTCTTTTTGCCGCCTTGTCCGCATTTTCGTATTCGTTCCCCGGATGCCGACATGTCCCGGTATACATATAAATATGACTTCGCAGATTAGATCGAGTTTGTCTACCTTTTTATAAGTTGTTTGTCTGAGCGGGTCTGTGGAGATTTTGTTAATGCCGTGATCGTGCTAAATGAGAATGTGCATATCACAAATTTTTTCCCACACAATTTTTTTTAGGCTCTCAGCGCGAACATAATTGCGGTCATTTCTGCCTTGTATATTATTTTTTGGGGATTGTTAGGGTTGGTAATTTTAAACCTGCGATTTATATATTCTATCTAATTTTTTAATATACTTTTCCTTTTCAAGCTAGACAACGTACACCCAAAATTCTACCTTTTTTTGTGTTACAGCAATTTCTGTTACTGCGTCTACCATTGTACTTTTTTTCTCGCAGTCTCTGAGGTCTTTCTCTCTCTCTCTCTCTCTCTCTCTCTCTCTCTCTCTCTCTGTCTGTCTGTCTGTCTGTCTGTCTGTCTNCTCTCTCTCTCTCTCTCTCTCTCTCTCTCTCTCTCTCTCTCTCTCTCTCTCTCTCTCTCTCTCTCTCTCTTTTTCTCTCTCTTTCTTTCTCTCTCTCTCTCCTTCACTCTATTTCTAACTATCTATCTATTTTCCTCTCCCTCTCGCTCTTTCTCTCTCACCAACAACTTTGAAACCTACGTAAATCTTGACATGAAAGTAGTGGTAGCGAATTGGTGAGAAAAAGATTTTATGTCAATCTAAAGTGAATATTCTTTAAGAGAAGGTTTCCGAGGATATTGGACTTCTCAGGAAGATAGTCTAGGACTAGTCAACCGTATCTGACAGTGTAGAAAGTGTAGAAATAGGTAGTTCATTGGTGAAGAATGTTTCTGACACTAAAAAACCACAGGTTTGACTACCAACGAACCGTTGTTAAATTTTGACAATTTACGCTAAATTTTGGCCTTTTTTTAATTAATCCCGGAAGTACTAAAAACTAAAGGATACCTGTTACTTTTACATTTAGTGGACATTAGTGAGACAGCGGTGTGAACAAGACACAAAACCGGAATATAACGTGTAATTGCCTTAAAATAAGGAATAATAATTTAGTACTACTGTTAAATTATTAATAATAATTACATTTAGACATGTGGTAAGCAAAAGTTTGTTTATTGCTGTACATTACAAATATTTACTCAACGGTTTAACTCAATTACTTCTGTTAATTGAAGAGGTCCCTTGCTTCCAACCGTCCTGTTGATTTTTTTTCTCAACAACAATCTCTTTTCTGAGGAAGGGGGCGCGCATATTTGCACAGTGCAACAATTAGAATGGCACGAGCCGCCGTTGTCCAAACAACCGCAGATAATACCGCATCCTTGTTAAACACATGCCATGCAGTGATTCGAACGGTCCTTCCGTTCAATAATAAATAACTCAATTAATGGTTAATGCGAGGCGGAATACGCGTTGACGACATCCCGGGGTATTTTGGAGCATGTGTGCCGTCCCGGGAGAGTTGAAAATAATCCCGAATCCGTTGATCAGATGATTCACTTTTTGCTAAGTGGATCTCTACCGGGGTGTTCCGGGCGGGGTTGATTGTGTTAGCCGCCTCCGGCTGCGGCCTTTAACTGCCTCCGCCAACATCCCTAACTGCATTACAACAAAACCCGTTCACATATTCTCCCCTGGCAATTATAAACAATAACCTATCCTCTTGTATGACTCTTCCAGCGTAGGATGAACGAAACGAACGTGAACATATTTTACTGCTTATAAGTACAAATATTAAATTGGTTAGATTTATGTGATTAACATAACTTGTACTTGTTTCTACATCCGACAGTTTGTAATGCATAAATTGAAAATAATTAATAAGTTATATAATNCGTGAGAGAGAGAGAGTGAGAGAAAGAGGGAGTGAGAGAGTGAGGAGAGGCAATTCAGTGAGAGAAATATATTGCAGCTAAATAAATATATAATCACTGAAAGCTAGAATGTCAGAAGACTGAAGGGTAGAGCGAGTATTATAATGTGACAAAGAATATAAAGCACAGAGAAAGGGAAACAGAAAAAAGGCATTAAAAAAGTGAAGAGAGAGAAAGAAAGAGAGAAAGAGAGAGAGAGAGAGAGAGAGAGAGAGAGAGAGAGAGAGAGAGAGAGAGAGAGAGAGTGAGAAAGAGAGCGTTTGTGGAGAGTGCAAGGAGGGGTGACTTGCTAGACAAGTAATACTGTATGAATTGTTTAAAAGGAAGAAGAGTTCGGATAGTTTAGATAATACTTAAATCCATTATTTATAAATAAAATATATATAGAAACTACACACATCGTTAGATATGCAGGATGAATAAAGACAGTCAGAAATAGAGACAGTACGAGTAGAGAACAGAAATGATGAAACGACAGAAATTTGAGCAAGTGAAATTTATTTATTTTTTCTGGCTAAACTTCTGAACAAAAAAATACTATGATAAATTCGTTAAGTGTTATTGTAATCTAATAAAATTTTCAAAAATGGAGGATTTTAGTACATTATGATTTGGTATAATTTAAGCGCGTATTAAATATTTAATAGTTAAAATAAATATTTTAAATTTTCGGAATGTATAGCAGTTTTTATTAGTAATCTACTAAAGTATAAGCAGGTTTGAACTTCATTTCGCCTTTTCATTTATCTAAAAAATAAAATATATACACCCATATTTAGGGGTATATATTATGTATTTCAACAAGTCAATAAGAGTATTATTTAAAAAAACATGATGTGTTAACATCTGAGCAACGACAAGATTATCAAAATTCACATGTTAAGGCAATTCCAGCTATTCATTTTGCCATAATAGGTATACAGTAGTTCCTTTCCGTAGAATTCAACACAGTTTTAGTTCGGCCAGATCACTGAATAACCGAATTCAGTTTTCCAGTTACGCGCTCAGCAGACATGAGTGCGGAGGTACAACAGAGGCAAAAAGGATGCGTAGTGTGCAACTTGGAGAAAGAGGAGAGGCTTGTATCACCCTGCGAATGCAACAGGATGATGCACTTCAGTTGCACAAAGAACTGGCAGTCTCTTCCATGCAGAAAATGTACAAAAAGGATGAACCGTCCGGAAAAATATTCACCTCGAACTTCCCTTGCTAGTCAAACTTCGACATGTAAGAATTCTCCTATTGTCTTCGTCGTGTTTCTTTTCCATCGCAACATGATTTAAGTCGTTACACATAAAACAACGTAAAATCAATTTCCTATAACTAAGTACGTTTGTCACAAATTTTAAAGAAACATATGTTGAAATTTTAATGTTTTTATTCGCAAATAAATTAGGTGTTTAAAAAATATAATAATTTAAAATATTTTAACTTTCCCTTACGAACAATTTTGCAATATTTTCTGTTTTGTTTCAGGATTCAGAATTGCAAGACAATATACAATAATAAATGATGGTACTGCAACCATATTGTGAAAGCTTAAAAACTCCGAAACTACAAAATGGTCTATAAAACTAGAAAAATCATACACAAACGAAGGCTGAATAAACAAGTCGGATGCAAAATTATCACGAATAAAATAACTTAAGAGACAACCTTAACAATAAAGTAAGAATTGCTATTCGATTGTCCTGCCGATTCTGTTGACTATTTTTAATTTAAGGAATTGTACCTTATTGCTTAATTTTATTGACTACTTTCAATTAATTAAGGTTTTTAGTTGAGATAAAAAAGTCAGTATCACGAGCGGGATTCGCACCCACGACCTTCGGCTAGATACGCCGTTACTCTACCACTTTAGCTATCGTGACTTGACCCCATGATAACTCACCAAAAAGTCACGATAGCTGAAGTGGTAGAGTAGCGGCGTATCTAGCCGAAGGTCGTAGGTTCGAAAAACGCTGACTTTTTTACCTCAACTAAAAACCTTAATGAAAGATATTAATTGGTCAAGCGGAACACGAATTTATTGACTACCTTAAAGTTTTTACAATTTTTAAAACTTAATTCTAATAACATAAATTTTGTACTCTACGAATTATTATTAGCCCAAGTAACATTTTCGTTGTTCAGTTTAATTTTTATTATTTGACTTTATTTGCCTTTATTGGTAAAATTGCGAGAAAAATAAATATACTGCTCACACGATGAAAATTGCAGACAAATATCGTTTTTAAATGATATCAAAGTATTAAAAGTTAATTTTGATAAACTTGTCAAAATATTGATATTTTAAACGTGGGCGAAGATCAATCTGATCGATACGTGCTGGAATTTCTAAGAAGATTTGTAAATTTTATTTTTTCCAATCGGCTACCAAATAGTTTGAAAAAAGTACACAGGTTTCTGATCTAATATTTTCCGCAAAAGAAATATAATGTGATGTATTCATACGATGTAAGGTGCGTCGGTTCCATCAACAGTACGAGTTTTTGACATGGCGAATCAGTACTGCAAGGGTAGAAGGTTTGAATCTTACTAGTTCTAACCATGGGGGTATGATATGTAGTTGATGAAATACTTAAAAAATCTTATATTCTTGTTTAGTTAAATTAACTTTTTTAATTAAAATTAAATTTTTTCATTTAAAATTAATCATTTTCAAATAAATCTTTTCTAATTGAAATAACTATGTGTGGTGATTAATGACCGTTTGTCAATGATTATTCGGAGATCGTGAGATGCGGTCTGGTGTGACGTAGATTTTAGAAAAACATTTTCTTTATCGGGCCAATGTTTCGATCATTATTGAGATCATCTTCAGAGATCAAAGTGTTTGTTTTCTGCATAATTGTACCACTGTTATGGGTCGTGTTGAGAGGCACAATAATGGCACAATTACGCAGAAAACAAAAACTTTGAGCCCTGAAGATGATCTCAATAAAGATCGAAACGTTGGCACGACCGCATCTCACCATCTCCGAATAACAAATTAACTATTTTTGATTTTAAACAACCTTTTCCATTTAAAATTAACCATTTCTTTAAAACAATAAAAACGAAAAGGATGGTTATGAGCTAGTAAAGTAAAATCATTTTCTAATTGGTAATATTTTTGTAATATAAAAATTAATCATTATTTACTGATAATGAGATGTGGTCTTGTAAATAAAAAAATAAAAGGTAAATAAATAAAAATAAATGGCCATTAAAATTAAAAATGACGTAATTAATATTTATGTGGTATTATGTATGAGAATTTATTTTATACAACACTTTAAAAAAAAAAATCAAATCAAAAGAAGAAGAATTGTCTTTTGTATCTATTTTTTTACCATTTTTAATTTTCTTTTCATCAGTGTTTATATGGTCTTCTGAGATCCTAATTATTTTCATTTTAAAAAACGCCAAGAATATAGAGGGATTTTGCTTGAGATGATTGTTTCCTATCACCTTCTAAGTTTTTTTAATACTTGAAAGAAAAAGTTCATTTGCAATTAAAAAGGTTTTTTTTAATTAGAAAAGGTTAATTCGCAGTTAAAACAGGTCAATTTATAAAATAAAAAATAATTTTATATAATAATTTGGCTATTAGAAGACGACATGAAAATTAATTGCAATTAAAATTAAAAATGATAATTTCCATGAGGTATTTTATATGAAAATTCATTGTATATTATTTTATTTCTCTAACTAAAAGAAACATCTTTTATTTGTATATTTACTTTGATGAAATTTTTAATTTTCATACGGAAATGTTCAGGAATAAAAATTCTTTAGGTAATCATATTTCTGCCATCTTCTACGTTCTAAGTGGTACTTCTTTTAAGAAAACAGTAATTTAAAATTGAATGTTTTAATTTTTTTGAAAATGAAAAATTTAATTTAAACTAAAATTTTTTTTTAATTTAAAGTTTAGAAATGTTAATTTGAAAATTAAAAAAATGAATTTGATGTTAATATAAGTTTATTTGAAAATTCAAAAAAATTAATTGTGTAGTTAAAATTGGGTTAACTTTTTGGAGAGAAGCTACAATATAAAAAAGACAGAAACTGAAAATTGTATTCAATTTGTAAACATATGTGTCTATAAAATTTCTATTCATTAATTTGACTGAACGTTCACATTTTTTATTCTAAATGGTTTAAATTTTACAAGCATTATGTTCAAAATGTTAACTCATCATCACTGGGAAGCGAACGACGAGTGTACGGCAGGACTTGATTTGTGAAGCGGGGCCCACTCCGGCCAAATTTAAATCCCATCAAACAAAACGTTTTGACGTCACTAATTGGCACGGGACTTTGTATAGGAGTTTCTGTAAGCGAACAAGTCCCTTCATATCAAAGGGTAAAGTCTAAGGCGAACATGTGTAACGCAGACGTTCACACATTGTCTTTGTGTTAATAAACATTACGATTTGACTTTATAATTCAAAGCCTGGAATTATGTCAAAGTGAGCAGAACGGTGGAAAGTGTTACGAATTCTCTTTTGCCATAACAGGGCAAAGGGCACATTGACGAAGTGAAAACATTTCTAATTAAGAAGGATAGCGTATTGTTGTCTTGCGTTAATTATCTTATTGTTTTTTGTTAATTTTAATTAATTTTATCATTAATTATTTTTTGCACGTGAAATGGTATAACTGACATAAACATATTCTCAACCGGACGCCGGAATAAACAAATAGTAAAATGTACTAGATAATTTTTTACAACAATTTTTCATTGGCCAAAAAAAAACTATTCGCATACGTAAAGAATAAAACTAAGAAATTAAAAAATCTAAGTAACAAATATGACACGTAGAAGACGGGTATTCTCACCCAATTAAGAAGCCATGTTAGTTTGACACACGGAGGCTTACTTTTGGGCCAAATACGTTGTACATGTCTGGCCTATAAAAAAAAGGTTGCTCTTGAAAGTACTTGAATTGCACTATGCTTTGGCTCATTATAGAGAGCGTGTAGGAATGCCACCCGATATGAGAATGTGTGCTCGAGCACGGCAGCGAATATCTGGGTTCGTTTTTTTCGATTTTTTGAAGTTTTATTATGGACAATGACAGGTCAAAAATTCCACCCAATTAATAATTTCATTTTCTCGAAAAAAGAAAATTTTGCCCTTAATTTGTCCCTTTAGTTTTACCAATTAATAATGGTTTATGCTATGTTTTAAATTGGGAATAACAATTAGAGATAAACCCAGTTAATCATTAATCCAAAACAAATATAAAGGATTTTTCAATATTTACTTTTTACGGAATTTAAAATGTTTATACAGTCTCATTTGAATTCTGAAGAAATAAACTGTTTAGTTGTAGTGTTTGTTTTCTTAATTTCAATTGTTAAACATAAAAATGCCACGTAGTACTGAAGATGTTGCGCGTGGTGTGGCACTTATTGATGATGGACGTTCCATCAGGTGTGCGGCTATCGCCATCGTAGTTCCCTATGAAAAACTGCGAGACGCCGTTAGATGTTTTCGACAAATTGGGTCCTACCATAGAAGGCCCGGTTCTGGATGTCCTAGGGTATCAAAACCACATGATGACCGTTTTTTTTATCAATAAATATTTGTTTATGCTATATTTTAAATTGAGAATTCAATTAGAGATAAACACACTTAACCCTTAACCCTAAACAAAGATTTCCTATGTTTACTTATTACGGAATTTAATTTTCATGTTTGTGTTTTTAATTTCAATTTTTTAAACTTAAAAATGTCAATTAGTGCTGAGGATGTTGCGCGTGGTGTGGCATATTTGGTAATGGACGTTCCATCAGGTATTCCCTATATTACCATCGGAGTTCCCTACAAAACACTGCGAGACGTCGTTAGACATGTTCGAGAATCTGGGTCCTATCATAGTTCTGGACGCCCTCGAGTACCAGAACGACAGATGACCGTTTTTTGACTTCGGGAATTTTGCGAAACCGGCATCATACTCTTGTTCAAGCGATTCATCATTCCCAGGAAGTTCGAGATGTCCAAATTTCAGAACGCACTGCTCTAAGAAAATTAAATCAGTATGCACTGACGGAAAACATCTCTTGGTCTGCTGTACTTTTTACAGATGAGTGTAGATTTGCCCTACGATCTCCAGGTGGGCGTGAAAAAGTGTGGAGAAGGCGAAATGAAAGTAAGAAGCTTGTAATTTTTCCCAGAGCCAACCTTTTCAGCATAGCTCAATGATGGTGTGGGCTGGAATTTCAATGGAGAGTCGCACTGAGTTGGCTGTTGTTGGTGCAGGGTATTTGAAGGCCACTCGCTATGTGAATGAAATTTTGGAACATCATGCGTTGCCTATCCTCGATGAAATCAGCGACAATCCTATCCTAATGCACAATAATGCCCGTCCACATGCTCGCATATTACAAACGTACCTTCAACAGCATTACATCCGGGTCTTAGCCTGGCCAACCCGTTAGCTTGAACCCCATCGGATACCCTCAAAAGACGAATAAGAGCACGTCCATCACTCCTTAATACACTCCACGATCTTGAAAAGACGCTTTGAGAAGAATGAAGAAGCTATCCTCCAGCCAAGAGACATTTCCAAACTAGTAGAAAGTATGCCGAAGCATCTTCAAAATGAAATAAAGGAGAAAAGACGAAATACGCGATATTGAAATGTTAATTAAAAATCTAAGGCAAAAGTAAAACAAATTTTATCTGTCCGTCTTTTTTTTTATGT